AAAAGGGTCCAATCCATTTTTTATTTTCATCTAGCCAGATTTTATCAAATTCGTTTAGTTTCAACTCTATCCCCAGCATTTTAAGATCTGTTTTAAATCATTCAGCAATTTGGCTGAATCTAAACCAGTCCAATGAAAAACCTTTGTTATTTAATTTAATTCTTCTTGTGTTTTTATCTTATAGTTACCTTTTTTGTCTTTTCTTGGTAATTTATCATAAGTTACCCAATTTGTTCCTTGTCTCATTTCCCTTCTTTGTATTGCTTAATGAGGAGAAAAGCAGGGAGCAAATGTTGGCATGATCCTTAATTTGTATTTATTCCAAGTCTGGAGTAGAGAGCGTCTAATACAATAACTGTTCATTCATCTTTAATTTTTCATATCCTAAATATGCGTGCCAACCAAAACAAAGTCCATCTTCTTATAATTCCAACAATTCATCATTATCTAAGATTATCCAGCTGTCTTTTCCAGCACCACCCCAGTTTTGCAGCATTCCTGTAGTGTGTGGTGTGTAAACGCCACACCACCAGAGCACCACAAAGCTGCCCCCATGTGGTCAGGCGTGCGGCTTTGGGGCATGCGGTGTCTAAACACCACACCCCCAAGAGGCCAGCGCTCTGAGCCAGTGTATTCCGGCTCTAAGTTCATACCTTAAACCTTCCTTACTATGGCTTGACTGGACGAATGGAAGGGAGACAGGCCAGTTCAGAAGCCACTGAATTATGCAAAAAGATTTAGGATTGCTACATGCCAACGATCAAGATATTTACCTGCTTGGTCACAGCATCACTTAGCTTTTACTTGAGTTCTCTATGGGCAAATCAGCCAGTTTCACCTTCAACTTCACACCATTCACAGTCTTCCCGTGCAACGCAGCTATAGTGTCACTAGCACTTGCTCTCTCTGCAAACATGGCAAAAGCCATGTTTTCCCCAGGGATAATGTAAGCATTTATAAAACTTCCAAACCGACTGAAACAAAACATTTGAAAACAAACGTAGTTAGATATATAACAGGATGAAGTGCTGTTTTATTTTGCAATCTCAGTTGTAAAACAACCTAACACCCCATGGCTATATGTATGTATTCCCAACTATATTAAGTATGTTTCATGCATCTGTGGAAGGTGGATCTGCTCAGAAAAGCTTATGCTGCTGTAAATCAATTTTTAAGCAGTCAAAGAATTATTTTGTAGTTTCTAACACTTTGCTCTTATAACAAATCCAAATTATGATTTTATTTGTAACAAGACAGGTTCTACTCGTTCAGACAGCAACAACTTGACTGTGGGAAAAACTTCCCAAGATTTAACAGACAAGAATTTCAGCACATTAAACCAACAGCATAATCTGCAATGCCCCATTTTCCACATGTTCCACATTTGTGGTTTTGGTTATCCTCCTCTTCCTCTTCCCTTTCAGGTTTTCTCTCTGCCCTGAGCCCCTCCTGCTCTGAAAATGGCTGCCGTGTGGGGGTGGCGGTTTATTTGCAGGTTTTCCACATTCGCAAGGGTCTTGTTCCCGTAACCCCTGCAAATGTGGAGGGCCGACTGTATTTATTTATATTTACTTTATTTATATGCCACCTTTCTCCCAGGCTGGGACTCAAGGTGGCTTTTGTAACAACAAAGAACAAGACATTTACAAAAAGTTTTATTTTATTGTATATGGCTTAGCTATATACAATTATTTTCTATTTGGGTTTCAATCAAACACATCCTTGCTTAGCAAGTTTGCTTTTTTTATTCAAGTTCTTCTTACCATAATACATTTTCCAAGATATCTTGAGATAAAGGATGAGGATCAAATAGGATGAACAGCCTTTCCCGCACAGAAGAATCTGGGGGAGCTTTCCTTTTGCATGCTGGAAGAGCAGCATCTGTTTGAAGAGACACGGTAGGAATCTGGGACTCCTAGGGAAGGAAGGGGAACTACAATCAATGTTCCTATTTTAAATCCTGTGAGCTGTCAATTTTAAACAGTGGGCTGAAATCAACAGTGCAGGTGCTTGGATATCAATCTGACCATGATCCTCACATCTCTAGCATATATCAGAGTTTCTAGAAATCTTTAAATGTTTATAAAGTGGTTTATTTCTTTAGTATTAAAAGTTACAGCCTTTTTCAAATTGAAAGCTCAAGGGAGGGGTAACAAAAGCAAACTTCAAAAACAAACAAACTTATAAGTCTGGAGGAAAGAATAAAAAGTTGGTCCAATTGATTTAACTACCCACCTCCCATCTCCCAGGTTACAAAGAGCAGCCCTTGCATGTAGGCTTTACATTTCCAAAAGCAAGATACCTTGACATTTGAAAATACAGCCCAAGAATGATCTTGTGTAAGTTTAGCTTTATTCTACCTCCCATTTTGTATGAAGAGACAAGATTAGTTTTAGCTTCTTAAGATTTCTCAACAGCTGTTGAGACAGGCAGGGTGAGTTTCTGATGCCAATGGTTAATATACATTCTCTCCTCCCAACCAAGATCTCACACACGAAGGAAGTGAATGGCTCCCAAACTGTTGGACATACTACCAAAACATCTGATGGGAACATGTTTCTTGGAATTTTTGGCCTCAGCTCTATGAGGGTAGAAAACTGATTGCTGGACATGTTCCAGCTGCCCAGATCTTACACTACACTGCAGGTATCTAAAATAATTAAAAAATTGCATGGAGGGAATGTAAATGGAAACAATCAAACATGCATAGACTACTACAGAAGTACTGTAATTAGTTAGTGTGTATGTAATGTGTGTGTGTGTACAGACAGAGAGATAGGCTGACAGACAAAATTCATTTCTAGAATTTACAAATATCAGAGGTGCTTACAGAGGAGCCTAGAAGCTGAAGAACTGAATCATCTTTCAGTATTGTTGATGACAGCTCTGAGTTCACCAGGTCTGTTGCAATTTCTTGGATGAGGCTGCAGAGAGAACAAAATCTTTTAAAAACAAATGTAGTGTTTGTATATCCTAACACTATTCAATTGTATTAGACAAAAATATTTACTTATTCATTTATATCCTACTTTACTCCCAGCATAGGACCCTAGGTGACTGACAACATGGTTGAAAACAAAATACAGCTTAACCCTCAACTAAGTAGATGAAAATATTTACACTGAGTTTGTTTGGGAATAGTTTATTACTTCATGTGAATTCTAAACTATTTCAGCAGATGAAGAAGCCAATGGACTGTTTGTGGGTGTACAATGAAATGTATTACCACAATATGCATAGGAAATACCCAAACACTCAGTACATATAGTGGGATTGGGCATTCACCTCTGAATTCAACCAGCTGTTTAGCAAGGGTGGATCTGTCCCTGGTGTGTTCCACTCCACAAAAACGAGAGAGGTGGTAGAAGAAAAAACATTCAGGCACCCATTATTCATTACTAATTGATCTCCTCCCCCAGTAATAGGCTTCCTGCCATGCGTTGCTCACAGTTGAAAGACAGGCCTCCAATGGACAATTTTGCATTTTGACCTTGCTGGTAATAGCTGTAATGCAGTATTGTGGGGCCTTGATGGAATCTGCCAGTGCCTTGCCAAACACACTGCAGTAGAAAAGGCTCAAGTGTAACCAGAGGAATCCCAAAGTCTACCGCAAAAGAAAACCTCTAATAAAACACCAGAGTGTGGGCTATCATTAATTCTTCCACAAAGAGAACGTTTCCAAGCAGAAGAAGTTGTCGAGATAGAATGGAGAGAAAGCCTCTTTGGCTAAGCCTCAAGCCCCCATCACCACCTCTTATACAGCTCTGGAAAGCCCACAACAACCACCTACAGCCACATTTCACAGGATGCAACAAATTGTAAAGAGAAGGGGGAATCTGCCCAAATAATTTCCCTTGTTCCACTGACAGAAGCATCCCAAGTGGAACATTGTTTCGGACATGTTCCTGGTAACAAGAACTCTGGATCCAAGCCTATATTTTTTCAATGCCTCCTAAAGATCACTCTCCTAAGACTCTATCAGATATGATCAATATATTTTAAATTCTCATTAGCTGAGCATATAAGACCTCATCTTCATCTTTTAAAGAACAAGTTAAGAGAGATAACTATTTGTGAGGACCTTTTATTCCCTGTGCTAGAGATCTGGAAGGTAAAGAATTGTCACCAATCCTCCCTTGACGTAATTTTCTTCATTGATATGTGTCCTGTAGTGCAGGGCTGGATGACTACCTAAGATTGCTTTGGAGGACTGTAACTTGCCTGTGTCCACCAATCCCCCAGCCAAACTAATTATTGGTAGTTAAATCAAAAAATTTCCCTTTGCTCTTTAGGGGATAAGGTAAGCTATTATGAGCCAATTTTATAATTAGGAGAGGCCTTACTCCAAAACAAGATGTGACTGCAAGTCACATCATTTCTAAAAGGCTTCCCCAAGCCTAAAAGAGTCGTGGCATGGGAAGCTAAAGGCATTGAAAATTCCCCCTTGTTCCCTAGCCGGCATATACCGTGTATACTCGACTACATGTCAACCTCATGTATAAATTGAAGGCTGGTCTGGGGGTCAAAATTATGGATTTTGATATGACCCATGGATAAGTCGAGGATAAAACTTAGGGGCATGTAATGAATCATAGAATCATAGAGTTGAAAGAAACCACAAGGGCCATCCAGTCCAACCCCCTGCCATGCAGGAACTCAAAATCAAAGGAAGAATGTAAAGGATGAAGAAAAGGAAAACAATGCCAAAGAGCTTACAAAATTCCAGCAGAGTTAACTATTTGTGCTCATACTAAAGGCTGGGTGGATGAGAGAGTAGAAGGGGGTCAGTGCTTACAGGGAACATTAAATTCTTGCCTTTTACCAGGCGATGATTATCTATCTATCTTATCTATCTGATTTAAAGAACAATACTTACCCATGGATAAGTCGACTCAGGTTTTTTGGGTCAATTTTTTAACCTAAATTTCTAGACTTATGCATGAGTATATACAGTATACCATACTTAGATGTTTTGTTTTGTTCTGAATTGCTGGGAGGTAGCCAGGTGGCATAGTGGTTTGAACACTGAACTACAACTCTCGAGATCAGGGTTCAATTCCCTGCTTGAGCATAAAAAACCACTGGATCACCTTGGGCAAGTCACACTCGCACAGCCTCAGATACTGGCAATGGCAAACCCCATCTGAAGAAACTTGCTAAGAAAACCCTGTAATAGGTTTGCGTTAGGGTCACCATCAGTCAGATATGACCTGAAGGCATACTACACAACACACACAGTTTGCTTTTAGGGGCTGCAAAAACAGCTTTGAGGTCATATGTCACCCATGGGCCATACTTTTGCTACCTGTTCTAGAGTGGGATGTTGACATACAGTGGTATTCAAAACCCAGCTGTGGGTTTTTGTTACCTAAAATGAAACCAATGGAAAGTCCACACATACACACAAGCATGCATGCACACACATACTTTTTCTTCTCCCTTTAAGTCGCCTTATTTGGCATTTGTATAACAAAATCATCAAATTTGTTGCCACTTAAAGGAAACAGCAACTAAATTCCAATAATTAACATTTGTAAATAATGGAGTATTTTTCATTTTCCTTAGCTTTTTTTTACATGATTTCTTTAAAATAATCACCCATTATGATTCTCAAACTTATTCAGTCCTACTTCATTTAATTTTAATATTATTTAGTACTCACTCATTTTGATCAGTCTCATCTTCAATAAAAGTGACAAGCAAACGGTTCCCAAAAGGATATTCAAAACCATTGAGTCTGTTTTTGGCGTATATAGCTGATGCAACATTACTGTATTGAATCATTGCATATACTAAAAAGAAAAAAAAAATATGTATCAGTAAGCATGGCCAAACGTGTGCTGGTATAGATGCACCTATCAAACACCAACAGTACAGTGATAATGCCAACCTGAAATTAGTTTTCAAAGGCTACTTCAACAGCTATTCAGGAAAAAAGGGCACATCATTTCTTCTGAGCTTGACATGACTAGTTTCCCTGGAAATCCTTCAGCAGCTAAATAAACAGTTAGCACTGTTTCCTATCATATCTTAATATCTGGTAACAGAAAATCCTTAATACAACTTTCATTTTATGCTCCAATTTGCACACACACGTATCTAAAAGTGTGTGGGTAACCCAGAAAAAATGACCATGACTACAACTCTATAATACAGACTAAGACCAACTGGCTTCTGCAAGACTTCCTTCTGATTAGACTATGCTATGTAACAGTTGAGTCCTAATATTTTTAAGCCCACTGCATAACAGTTTTTTTAAAAAAAAATTACTCTGCCTCTCCACATACAATGCTCACAACTGTTAGGTGGCTAATGACATAAAGGCTTACTATATGTCTTTTTATATAAGGCATTTCATGTGATATGCAGGATGCACATATATTTACCATGGGAACTCACTGAAATTTCTAATACACATTTACCTGCTGAAATGAATATTGTTTAATCAGTACACCAAGAGAAATGATAATACCAGATTGAGAGTTTATAATCCAGCTGTGACTACAAAAAGGAGAAGCAGATATCATGGAGCAAAAGCAAAGATATAATGTTTTCAAGTGGAGCTTCCAGAAGAGTCCAAGATAACCTAATCCTTCTCCTTAATCACCTACCTGAGACATCATCTCTTCCTTTAGAAGTGTTTGTTAAATCTGGGTAGCCATATGGAAAGTTTCAATGATTTAAGAAAACCCAGTTTACAAATTAGTTCTGACACCACCTCCTCTCGTCTCCTGCTTAGAAAGGCAGAATCCACATAATGAACATCTCCTTACTTACGAACTCATATTTCTTACATTGCCAAGGTATTTGCTCTAAAGTTCACTCTCTTCTTAAAATGGAGAAGTTATGCATTTTACTTTCAATTTGTTGCATTACCACGTTTACTGTAAAGTCCTTGATAGGTTTCACAAGCTTCCAATCCTGGGATGAGATCAAAGAGTCTGAACAGTTGTTGTTGTACAAATGGGAATTCTGATACTACTGATAAGCGCCTAGAGACAGATTCTTGGCTTCTGGTATCACTTGTTTCCAGGCTTGAAAGGTCTGGCAGTTGTTCTAAAGGAAACATAGTAAAACAATACTGTTGCAGACCACAGAATGATTGCTGACTGCTTGTACAGATGTTATTTGAACAGAAACATGCACACACATTTTGTTCTGCAAGTTCTACAGACTATGATCAGTCGGTCTTTGTTATTATGAGATATATTTTAAAGACCATAAGGACAGGTTGCTTACCTGTAACGGGATTTCTTCGAGCGGTCATCTAGGAATTCACACAAATGGGTTACATCTGCACTTGCACAGCTAGCTTGGAAAGTTCTAGTACCACTGGGCAAATTTTCGATTGCAACTTTTTGGTGGTAGCTCCACCCACCCCTATAAAGCCCTTGGTGTTCCCGCTCTTTCCTCAGTTCCAAAACGTACGCGGCCAAGCAGCGACAGCAGGACTTTAGTAATGAGCAGGACACAACTGAGGGGAGGATGAGCGAGATTTGTGTGAATCCGCAATGACCACTTGAAGGAATACTGTTACAGGTCAGCAACCTGTCCTTCTTCAAACAAATGGGTTAGTCTGACAAACTTTGGTCAGCCGAGGAGAGAGTGTCCAGACACCAATCTTGTAATTTGAGGCAAGATGAGATTTATTAACAACAATAAGCTGTAAACCCTAGTTGCATTTTGGTGTCATTTGCTTGGATTCAACATACAATAAAACAGTGCAAACCAGAAAGCAGTATTGCCTTCCCAAAAGAGGCTTCTTGCCTGGCCCTCATGTCCAGCCTATAGTGCTTGATAAAAGTCAGTGGCTGGGACCAGACAGTAGCCTTACAGACATCCTCTAATGGCACTCCAATCAAAAATGCAGAGGATGCAGCTACCACCCTAGTTGAGTGCGCTCACACCCGACCTGGAGGGGTTCTACCTGCCAGATCATAACATAAATGGATGGTTGCTGACACCCACTTACATAATCTCTGAGGTGTAACTGGTAGACCCTTCTTGGCCTCTGAATAGCACGCAAACAGTCTCTCAGAGTGCCTCGAACCCAAGGTCCTTTCAAGGTAGAATGCCAGAGCTCTCTGAACGTCTAAGGTGTGTAACCAACGTTCTGTATCAGTAGTCGGGTTCGGGGCCAGGGTGGGTAGCACAATGTCTAGGTTAATATGGAAGGCCAACACCACCTTAGAAAGAAAAGTGATGTAATACGGAGGACCACCTTGTCCCTATGGAAGCAAAGGTACAGCTGGTTCACCCATAAGGCACACAGTTTGCCTGCTCATCAGGCAGAAGTGATGGCCACTAAGAAAGCTGTTTTCCAGGTCAGCAATCTTAAGTCCGTGGTGGCCACAGGCTCAAAGGGCTTGCTGGAAAAGTGGGAAAGCACCAAATCCAGACTCCATGCCAGGGTTGGTACCGAGAATGGAGGGTGAAGGTTGTTCAGACCTTTGAGGAATCTCTTTATCAACAGATCCATAAAGAAAGAAGGTCTGCCTTCGAGCTGGTAGTGTGAGCAGATGGCAGACAAGTAGCACTTGATGGAGTTAAGGCATAACCCTGAGTCAGCCAGGGACATCAGAAATTTTAGGATAGTCAGTATTGAGACACAGGATGGAGATAGGTTCCTCGCTGATAAAAAGTCCAGAAACTTGTTCCATTTGAGTGAATAAGACTTTCTAGTAGAGGGATTCTGAGCAGCCAAGATTACAGTCTGCACCGAGGTAGGTAGCGTTGTTATGGATGGATTCTCAATGCCACCATAGGAAGCAAATCCATGTCTGGGTGTTGAACCTGACCAGTGTGCATCGAGAGGAGGTCAGGACAGAACTCAAGGCAGTGGTATTCCTCCTGAGCAAGGTGGAGCAGAGGAGCAAACCACGGCCGTCTTAGCCACCATGGAGTGATAAGGATGGTGTCTGTCCCATCCGTCCTTATCTTGGCGATGACCTTCGTGATGAGTGGAAATGAGGGGAAAGCATAGAACATTCTCCCAGACCACTCAAACTGGAAAACATAGAACATGCTCCCAGACCACTCAAACTCACAACCCCAGGGCTCGAACTTGAGAGCAGAACTCTGTACAGTGTGAGTTCTGCAGGGTTGCGAATAGGTTGACCTCTGGCCTGTCCCAGATGGAGAAGAGGCCGGAGACTGTCTCCAGATGGAGGCGCCACATATGGCAGGGATTGGAGGATATGCTGAGCTTGTCCACTAGATCGTTGTCCTCTCCAGGCAGGTGCACCGACTGCAGCAGTATCTTGTTGTCGATGCATCAGTTCCAGATGCGGATTGTGATCTGGAGCAATGTCCAGGACCTTGTGCCCCCTTGCTTCTTCAGGTAGAACATGACAGTGGTGTTGTCCATCAAGAGGAGTACCACCTTGCCCGAAAGCACGGTGTGGAATGCTCGGAGGGCCTTCACCACAGCCAGCATTTTGACAGTGTTGATGTGGAGTTTATTTTCCAACAGAGACCATTCGCCCTTGATGGTCAGGTCCTGTGTTTGCACTCCCCATCCCTCTAAGGACGCATCTGTTGTCAAGTTGATTTTGGGCCGAAGCGCTATTAAGGGCATCCTGGTACAGACATTGCTGGGTTCGAGCCACCAACACAATGATCTGGCTATGGGTCTCAGTACTGTGAGCCATTTGGAAGGGGAATCGCACATGGGATCAAAGACAGACAGGAACCAGGACTGTACTGGTCTGAGGCGGAGTCTCGCCCATGGTGTCACAAAGGTGGTCGAGGCTAAATGTCATAGTACTACCTGTATGGTGTGGGCCCTGATGTGTCTGTGAGCCAGGCAGCTTCTGATGGCCATGGAAAGCCTTGGACTCTTCAGAGTCAAAGATTGCTCTGATGAATTTGACTTGTTTGGCTGGCGTCAAGTTTGACTTCTCCCTGTTGACCAAGAGTTTGAGGGAGTCCAAGAGAGAGAGGGAGAACAGGATGTCCCACTGCAGTTTTTGCCGGATTGGTGCTGTGAAGAGCCAGTCATCCAGGTAGGGGAAGACCGTGATTCCCTGTTGATGGAGGTAGGCTGCCAATGAAGCCATGCATTTGATGAAG